ATTCAGTGTGGATTCCGACAGGGTCGCAGTACTCTTGATCATCTTGTTCGATTCGAATCATTTGTCCGTAATGGTTTTGCGAAAAATGTACATGTGGTGTCGGTCTTTTTCGATCTTGAAAAGGCCTATGACACGACATGGAAGTATGGTATTTTAAAAGATATTTTTGATATGGGTTGAAAGGCAATATGCCAAATTTTATTTTGAATTTTCTGTCTAACATACAATTTAATGTTAGAGTAAATTCAACCATGTCTGATCTGTATGATCAAGAGATGGGTGTCCCTCAGGGGGAGTATTTTATCTGTTACATTATTTAGTCTTAAAATTAACAGCCTTGTTGAAGTTTTGAAAAGTAATATTGAAGGTTCATTGCATGTTGATGATTTTTTAATATGTTACAGAGGCAAAAATGTGAATAACATTGAACGACAATTAATGGTCCTCGGAAAATGGTTTTAAATTTTCTACTTCAAAAACGGTTGGGATGCATTTTTGTAACGAAAGGAAATTGCATCTTGATCCAGACCTCACCTTGTAAGGAAACCCAATTAAGATGGTTGATGAAACCAAATTTCTTGGGTTAGTTTTCGATAAAAAGTTAACCTTCTTCCCCATATCAAAATGTTAAAATCGAGATGTTTAAAAGCATAAGATATTTTAAAAGTTGTCGACAGCACTGATTGGGGTGCTGATCGCAACATCTTAATTTATATAGATCTATAGTTCGATCTAAACTATGTCAATTGGACATGCTTTGATACTATATATGCCCTTGAATTTTTACTAGATAACATTTTTGTTCGCTTTGGAGATTCCGTATATCGTCAGGTTATCGGAATTCCAATGGGGACTAACTGTGCACCACTTATTGCGGACCTTTTTTTGTATTGCTATAGTTACAATTTATGACAAAAATCAGCAAAGACCCATCGAAACAACATCTGATACACAAATTTAATAATACTTTTAGATATTTGGATGATATTTTGGCTCTCAATAATGACGACTTCAGTATGTATACTAAAGAAATTTATCCTGTTGAACTTACTTTAAATAAAGCTAATACTAACAATGACCACTGCCCTTTCCTCGATCTTGATATCTATATCATTAACGGAAAGCTTAATACTAAAATATATGATAAAAGAGATGATTTTTCATTTCCTATCGTTAATTATCCATTTGTAGATGGTGACGTTCCCTTGTCACCATCTTACGGTGTTTATATATCTCAACTTGTACGATTCGCTCGTGTATGTAACAATGTTTTAGATTTTAACGAGAGAAATTTATGTATTACTGAAAAATTATTACACCAGGGTTTTCGATATCACAAACTAGTCAAAACATTTACTAAATTTTATCATCGGTATAAGGACATCATTCGTAAATATAGCTCAACATGCAGACTTCTTACACGTTCAGGTATTTCACATCCAATTTTTTATGGAAATATTCTTTATAAAGCACAAAAATGTCAGTATTCACCTCTGAAGCTAACAAAACCTTTAAATAGACTTATTAAGAAGGGATATAGTTACGATACTGTTGTCAGGTCATTAAAGATTACATATTTTGGCGTTAATATTGATTCACTTATAGGGTCTTTGCATCGGCACTAAACACATTTATTTAAAAACCAGTTGTTGGCATGACACGGGTTATGTTCTTCTCATATATGTTATGATGGTATGATACTAAACCCATAACGGGAAGGATTGTGCCTGATATTCATATGATGAAGACATAATATTTCAATCAGTTTAATTGAAGTCTGGAGCTGGCATGTCAGTTAACTGCTAGTAGTATGTTGTTATTTATGTATTATTGTCATTTTGTTTATTTTCTTTGGTTACATCTTCTGACATCAGACTCGGACTTCTCTTGAACTGAATTTTAATGTGCGTATTGTTATGAGTTTACTTTTCTACATTGGCTAGAGGTATAGGGGGAGGGTTGAGATCTCATAAACATGTTTAACCCCGCCGCATTTTTGCGCCTGTCCCAAGTCAGGAGCCTCTAGCCTTTGTTGGTCTTGTGTTATTTTTAATTTTAGTTTCTTGTGTACAATTTGGAGTTTAGTATGGCGTTCATTATCACTGAACTAGTATATATATTTGTTTAGGGGCCAGCTGAAGGACGCCTCCGGGTGCGGGAATTTCTCGCTACATTGAAGACCTGTTGGTGACCTTCTGCTGTTGTCTGTTCTATGGTCGGGTTGTTGTCTCTTTGACACATTCCCCATTTCCATTCTCAATTTTATTTTATAGATTATGGTTCAATAGTGTATGGCTCTGAACGGAAGTCCTACATACATATTCTCGATGCTGTGCATCACCAGGGTTTGTCTTGGCGCCTTTAAAACCTCACCAGTTGAGAGTCTGTATGTAGAGGCTGATGAGCACTCACTCTCCAACAGACGTTTGAAGCTTGGACTTCAATACGCTGTCAAGCTAAAAGCATATCCAGAAAATCCTGCCTACAGCTGTGTTTTTGATCCCATTTATCAAGATATATTTGCAAAACATGAAAATAAAATTCCTTCATTAGGCATTCGTTTAAAACCACATTTAACTTTTTTTGATTTAAAACCTGTTGCACAAGTTGAAACTTGCAAATGCCCTCCATTGGAACTTCCAAAACCGAAAATGATATTTGATCTCCGTAAATACAAGAAAACGGAAACAAACCCTCTTTTAATCCAACAACATTTTGCTGAAATTAAGACAAATTATTCAGATTTTTCAACTGTTTATACAGATGGATCGAAGGATGGCAACCGAGTTGCATCTGCTGCTGTCTTTGGAGACAGAGCTGCGACTCTCCGTTTGTCATCTGCCGCATCCATATTTACTGCTGAAGCAAAGGCAATAAGTTTGGCTTTGAAATTTATTGCTACTTCAGACAAATCCAAATTTATTATATATTCTGATTCCCTTTCATGCTAAAAAGCTATACAACATACTAAAATTTAAAAAAAAAGATAGTTCTCAAGATTTTATATGTAATGAGGAATTTAAAAATTCTTCATAAAGAAATATTTTTTCTATGGGTTTCGAGTCATGTTGGAATCCATGGAAACACGGTTGTGTACAAAGAAGCAAAAAATGCCCTGGATGATCCCTTATCTAACTGTGATAAACCATATACCGATTTTAGATCTAATATTAGAGAATATGTTTTTAAGATATTGGAAAATGAATGGAGTAAAAAAGATGATAATAAATTACATGAAATTAAACCTAAATTAGGTAAACCTTTAAATACTTTAATGTGCAGAAAAGATCAGTGTGTTATTTCTTAGATGCCGTATTGGTCATACTAGAATAACACATGAGTATCTTCTGAAAAATGAAGAACATGTTTTAATTAATTGTATTGACTTTGCTGATATTCGTAGGAAGCATTTCAATGTCAATAATATGTATGATTTATTTGATAGTGTTCCAGTTACAAATATTGTTTCATTCTTAAATATTAAAATGATTTTAAGTTTTATCACGTTATCTTAGTGTTGAATTTTATTTGTAAATAATCAATTTTGATTTAGACTTGAGTTTTTTTTTGTATATTGAAGGACCTTTTGTCTGATTTAAAAAATATACTTTAAATTGTTAAATACTTGAATTAGCTCTTGCCGCGATATAGCCTTTTTGCGCTCATGCAGCGTAAAGCAAACACCAATCAATGTAATATTTCTCGCGGACTACATGTGCATATATGTATTAATCAAGGTTTCTGAAATTTACAATCAACCTTCTTGTGAGCATGCTCTTCTGTGTGATGCGATTTTATTTCCATCGTATATCTCCCTGTTCAGCCAATACTTAAAGTGGGGGTTTTGTTAGTGCAATAGTTCACAGCTCCACTTGTTCAGATAAGAAAGATTTTAAATTCTGTTTTCTAGCACCTTTGTGTTTTTAAATTGGCACTTTGAAGACACAAGGTCAGTTGCTTTCGTCATTTAAGTATCTTAGCAATAGGTCTACAATATTTGGTTTATTGAATTGTGATTTTTACATTTCCATCTTGTATATGTTACTACCCGCATCCTTGATCTTAATTTTAGGTCACCTGGTCTATTATCTTGAAAACATGAATAGATAGACTTAAAAGCAAAGATGAGATTTATAAGCACGTCAAAAATGACTGAAATCGTCAGTCGACTTCTTATAGGAAGTCTGATCTCGGATCCCGTTTATTGTTTTGTCAGAATCCTGTATCCCGACTGGTAAAAGATATTAAACTATTGCTAGACATCGGTTGTTAGAATAAAGCATATTCATTAAGTATAGCAAGGTAAACTAGCGTTCCGGACGTCTGTACCCAAATTGTATCGGTTGAGGACACCCCCACCCTGTGCAACTTGAGAAAAAAATATGCCGCTCTGTAAAAGCCTTGTGAAAATTATCACAGTGTATTCAGTTGATTTGGGTTAGTTACTTTGGAATGTAATTAATTAAATGTGAATTACCAAACAATATTATAGCTATTTATAAATCCTAGCAAATACATTGCAAAATTGTCCAACTGAATTGTAATTATACCCATTTTAAGCAACGCTATTTATTGACTAACAATTACTTTACAAATGTAACTAATTAAATAACAAATGACATTTGAATAACATTTTGTTAAACAAATTCCTACGTAATTTTCGGATACAATTGACGGAGATACCTTGTGTATAGTATTTGTCTTCTGAAATAACCCCATTATGTGACAAAGTTAGATTTTTTAGATACAATTTGTGAATAGTTTAGACATCTTGCTTTTTGGTTTTAATATCGAAAAGTTTCTGTCTCATGGATGTGTACCCCATGTAAATATCAACATAACATAAACATATTGCACTAGTCAAAAATGAAAATGAAAGTAAAATACTACTCTAATCATTTACTATAAATAATCCATTTCAAAGTCCTTTTCGGGTTTACCGGTTTCCAAAATTAATTTATATACAAAGTCGTGTATTTTTTCCTTGTATACATGTACAGGTATGTACGTCATGAAAATTTTCAGGACACCAAAATGCATATTAGGATATATATTTAAACTCAAGTTGTAGCAACCATATACTCGGAAAAGGAGCCGGCATAGTACCCCCTGAACGGTATGTTTAATCATTGCTTATAAGTTTATTTACTATATTTAATCTTTTATATCTATATATAATAAGCTCACTTTTTTAGCTCACGGATCTTAATTTTAGGTCAAGTGAGCTTTTCTCATCACTTTGCGTCCGTTGTCCGTTGTCCGTCGTCCGTTAACTTTTTACATTTTGAACTTCTTCTCGAGAACCACTGAATGGAATGAAACCAAACATGGCATGAATGTTCCTTATGAGGTGCTGACCAAGTGTTGTTGCTTTGTAGCTAATCCATTATCCAAGATGGCCGCCAGCAGGGGGACTTAGTTTAACATAGGACCTAATGGGTAATACATACAAATGTCTTCTTCTAGAGAACCACTGAATTGAATGAAACCAAACATAGCAAGAATGTTCCTTATGAGGTGGTGACCAAGAGTTGTTACTTTGTTGCCGATCCCTCATCCAAGATGGCCACCAGCAGGGGACTTAGTTTAACATAGGACCCTATGGGAAATAAATACAAATTTCTTCTTCAAGAGAATCACTGAATGGAATGAAATCAAACATGGCATGAATGTTCCTATAGATGTGCTGACCAAGTGATGTTACTTTGTAGTCGATCCATCATCTAAGGTGGCCGCCAGCCGGGGACTTAGTTTAACACAGGACCCTATGGGGAAAGTTTAACATAGGACCTTATGGGGAAAGTTTAACATAGGACCCTACAAATGTCTTCTTCTTCTAGAGAACCACTGAATGGACTGAAACCAAACATGGGATGAATGTTCTTTATGAGGTGCTGACAAAGTGTTATAACTTTGTTGTCGTTTTTTCCAAGATAGCTTTAGAAAGGGGGCATAGTATATAACCCTATATCTTAGTTAAAATACAAACCAATGTCTTCCGCTTGAGAACTGATAAATAGATTGAAACCAGTTATGGTATGAATGTTCCTTATGAGATGTAGACCAAGTTTTGTACTAGTAAATATTGAGGCTCCAATGTACCTTGACATTTTGCATTTTACATGTTCAAATAATCTACTTAAAACCCGGTGAGCAATTCAGGCTCTCTTGAGCCTCTAATTTATACACGTTTGTAGTAACAATGGTATATAGAATAACTTTAACATAATGTAACAAAGATACATCCATATGTTGAAGTAAAGAGTGTCCTACCGAAGGTCGGTGGTTCTCTCCGGACACTCTGGCTTCCTACACCAATACAAACTGACCGCCACGAAATAGCGCAATAGTGTTGACAGTGGCGTCAAAAACCAATCAATTAGTCAATCAATGAAGTAAAGAGTGTATGCAATGAGTCTGTCCCCAGTAGGGGTCTGTTATCCAGTGGTTGTAGTTGGTTGCTATCTGCCATAATTGTTTTTTATAAATCAGGAGCTTAGTCATCCAGGGATTTATAATAGCTTACCATACCATACGAGTTTCACTCATTGATGAAGGTTGTATAGTAACCCGTAGTTTTTTTAAATCCTTGTCCTTTAGTCTTTATAACGATACTTGTCTCATTGGCAATCGTAACCCATCTTATTTCTTTTACAATGCAGAAAAAGAAACAAAAAGTAAATCACTATAAATTGAGGGTGAATGAGACGTGCCGTAGAAAACCAGTAATTATTATAAAACCAGGATCAATATAGGATTGTCAACATGTTCCTGTTTCATATAAAAATCTCTAAACTGTCCGAGCTAAAGACAGTTTGCGATTAAGAGAGACTATAAGATCTGCCATCACCACACATTACTCCATGACTTAAAGGACCAAAATGAAACAACGCTTATGGTTGTAGAAACAAAGACAATCGCTGAATTTACATAAATTTTAAATGACTTAAAAGTTTTCACACTAAGGTCAGCTTCTCAATTGATCGCAACATTTTTTAAAACTTGACGCAACTAAATCATAAACAGTTAATTCTGAAAATATTATTTAGTATGTGAACAATCAACGTCATTTGGAGCGACAAAAATCGCAGAATGTGAGAGACATGGATGCCAATCCGGAGTCGACGACGTAAACTTATTCTATAAAGCCTTATATTTCAGAAGGTGGAAGACTTGGATACTAGGTATTTGTATACCGATGCTTTATGAACGAAGCTTCCGTCTGTCATATGTCCATTGTCAATTACCTCATTTACATGGTTCGATGACTGCAGTCAAAAAACGGTATTATAATAATAGCTTTTTATCTTGTGAATTTTTCACTTATGCTATGTTATGGTATATGGGATCTTTACAAGGTCTACATGTCCGTTAGACAGTGTTCACTAGACCTCGACCTCATTTCATATATCAGTGAGCAAGGTTGAGTTTTCGTGATTAGGTCCATATCTCATATACTATAAGCAGAAGGTCAGCTATATTTGGTTATGGAATAATCGTGAGGTGTACATGTTCTTCTGTCGTAGTTTATCTGACATTGACCTCGTTATCATGGTTCACTAGTCAATGTTAAGTTTCGTGATTAGGTATGTTTTTCAGATACTATAAGCAGTAGGTCAACTATATTTGGTATATGGAATGGTTGTAAGGTATACATGTCTGTCTGGCAGAGTTCATCTGACCTTTACCTCATTTCATGGTTCATCGGTAAATGTTAAGTTTTTCTGTTTACGCCTGTACACCATATTTGGTGTATGGAATTAGTGTAAAGTGTACATGTCCGTCTGGTGGGGTTTATATTACCATGAACTTATTTTCATGGATCTTGATATTGTTTAGTTTATGTGATATCTTTAGTAAAACTTTATCTTAAAGACTTATCATAAATTCAACTATGATTAGTAAAGCAGGCATGTTTTTACTTGTCTACTTTTTAAATTTCGTTTTTTGTTCCTTTAATTTTTTCGAAGTTGCACCCATCATGGTTTAAATATCGTTATTTTTTATATTTTTATTCCAGCTTGCCGAGGCAGATTTGATATTTCAATACAAGTCAGTTGTTGCCAAGACAAGGTTTAATATTACACCTGTCAATTGAAAGCGGCAATGATTTCTTTCATAGGAATATTTTACCGAATAGCCTTGCTGTATGCATTGGACACTATAACAAGATTACAACATCTTTATCCAGATCAAGGACAAACTGTATATGATTATATTGGTATGTCAGTAAATTATCAGTAAGCGTTATTTTTTAGAACAATATAAACCTACAAGATACCAAATAATGCACAATTTCTCATCAGTGGTGCTCAACATCAATTATTGGAAACCCGAACGTTAAAAAGTCGGAAAGCAATAAAACAAAATAAAAATGACAAATTAAGACTAACTAACGAATACATGTGGCGATGATGATCATGTGCATCATCTGTGGAATAACCTTAGAACTTCATACATTGTACAACAAAAGATTTTTTTTGAAAATCTTTTTTAAATTTTAAGTTCCCTACATTTTTGTGGTGTGTGTGAGGATCAAATAGTCGCCACTTTCTTACCGTTGATTCGTTTGTCCGCAAAAATTTAAAAAAAAAGATCCGATCCCGTCATACTTTGAACGACAAATTTTTTTTTATTTATTAATATTACTTTTACTGTTAAGTCTGTTTTTTGTGATATACATTTGACATGGCTCTGTACTTATGTATCCCGTCATACTTAGTGCCACAGAGTTATTTTATCTATCAATATTACTTTTACTGTTAAGTCTGTTTTTTGAGATATCCATTTTACGTGACTCTGTACCTATGTATCCCGTCATACTTTGAACGACAGAATTATTTTATGTCTACCTGTGCGAATTTCAAACGCGCGTTTTTACGCCAGTACTTAAAACATTCCATCCTTTATGGGTGGATTTTACATAGATAAATAAAATCGTATAATAAAAAAGCAAAATGAGGATGTTAAATTTGATGTATGCCTTTTTGTGCTTCTTCGTTACATTTGTTTGTTTTTATAGTGATTATGATGATAACACAATATTGACTGCTGTACCCCTATTTTTGACATTTTTACCTATTGTGTCTGTTTGTTTTGTTCACGCATCGTTGTCAACATAATGGAATTTGATGCAACTGTCATACAAGTGAGAGGTTTAGCTAGCTATAAAACCAGGTTCAATCCACCATTTTCTACATAAGAAAATGCCTGTACCAAGTCAGGAATATGACAGTTGTTATCCATTCGTTTGATGTGTTTGAGCTTTTGATTTTGCCATTTGATTAGGAATTTTCCATTTTGAATTTTCCTCGGAGTTCAGTATTTTTGTGATTTTACCTTTTACTACTTTGGCTATAACATCCAGGTCATGGTTTACCTGACTATATCTAGGTGTCAGACCACCAATTACTCCCTCTAAGTAAAAGCGGCCCTACTCTGACACAAAATAGTGCTTTTGATGTCCTTGTTTACTTAAACTAACCAACAAATTTGCAGAAATGAAACTTTTGGTGAAAGAGAAATATATTTAGACCATTTTGAGCCAAAATTTACTTGTCTATGAGTTTGCATTTAAAATTGAGGATTAATGATCATTAATGCGCTCCATAGTATACTAATTTAAGATTTCCAGAAAACCAGGGGTTATTTTTTGAGTACCTCTTTTTGAAGGTCAGTTTTTTTCTTAGAAGGCTTTAAAGGTATGTTGAAAATTGGCATGCATAAAGCTGACACATGTACAATTCAGGATATACCTGGTTTCTCTGAAGTTAAACTTAAGGTAAAATATTTAGAAAGCTGTGAAAATTGCAAAATTTGGTTGAACAGAAAGGGATATTTAATTGGTGGCATGACACCTATCTAGTGGTGGCCGACTCCGTTTTTTTTAGAAAATAGTTTGTTTTATTTTTTACAATTTGAATAATTTTTCTGTCCATAGAAAGAACCCCCCACCCCCCTCCCCTTCCAACTCACCCTCGCCCCAAAAAATAAAAGTTGAAGGTCGGTGCCTTACAGATACATGTATCTATCGACCAATCTGTTTATTTCAAGAACAGAACCGTCTTAACATTTTAAATACACTGTATTTTCAATACTAACAAAGAAATGTTTCACTGTTAATATTTTTTTAAATGTTAAACTTGTATTCGGTACTATTTTAATTTTTTTTACAGTTTCCATGGAATTTAAAAGTGAAATCAAACCAAGAACATTTATTGAACAGCTATTTTGACCTGCATTTGGTTAATGTTTAAAAAAAGAGGAGTGAAATTTTTGTTCTAATGATTATACGGTTATTTTCTTTTCAGGTCTGGTAATTTTAAGTTCTCTTCTGGTTTTGCCAACTAACATTACTGATAGATGTTTGAGGTATGGATCATGTTTTATAATCATGAATATCAACTATCACTTCATGAAGCATTATATTACGAACAACAACTTCTCTTCTGGCAAGGTATTCATTTTAACTATGAAATGTCCTCTGACATGTGTTTGGATGAAGTCAGACTGGATGTACTATTTGAATAGTTTTATTTGCAATGTTATTAGCAATAATAAGCTAAATGTATCTACTTACGCATTGATGTTAATTGTATTTGTATGTTTATATGTAACTATACTTATATTTAGATTGGCTATGGAGCATAGAACTAAAATGTTATTATGGTTAACAGTAACAATCACCTTGCATGTTTTCCTACTCTACTTGTTCCCTGTTAAGTCTATAATTTCCTCTGATGTCAATCTAAAGCTAACAGTATTATTAGTAGTACAATTAGTTTTAGCATGGGTTTATCTCAACACTTTCAGTATTCATGGATACACGAAAAGCGTGTTGATTTCTGCCTTTCTTTATACAGAAACAGTTCCGTTGTCATATTTCATTTTTCTGATTCTGACTGGTTGGTATATTGTTCAATGTCTCGCCAGATTAGATGAATCCAATTTACAAGGACTGGAATCTTTTGATATAAAAAGATGGTCCCAGTCTCACTACAGGGAAATGTTACTTTCTCTTTTCTTTTATTCCATGTTTAACATCATATTCACTGGATTAATTACATATATACAGAGCTCGTTGATTATAAGACATGTTCAGTTAACCGTTAGTATCTTCTGTAAATCATGGATAGGAATTGGTTGCTTCATCATTTTTGTATTCTTCATTTCAAGAGCAGTCATGGCTGCTTGCATATTTTATTTACGAGGATTTAGAAGAATTCGAATTAGAATAGAAAATCCATGTTTGTCTGACTTATGGATTATGGTCTTCCTGGTGGTACACTCTTCCGAAAAAGATACTCATAATCAGGATCAATATCTGATAGCAGGCGTACTAATGATCGTTTCAACTCTTTTGAATGATATGCATAATACTGCAGAGCCTGTTTTAATGGAATTAATTGCTAATAAAGGAATGACACGGAGGCAGCTGATGATTTTTACTTTCTTTGGGATCTTGGGGCTAGTTCCTGTTTTTCTAATTTTCAACCTTCAAGAGGAGATGAATATTCTATCAGTATGGTGGAGGGGAGTATATTTGATGAGTTTGATTCTTACAGCAGTTCAGGTTATTTCCTCCTTGTCAATGCATTGTATTTTGAGATTTTCCCTTTTCAATTCGAACTTTAAAAAAGCTACAAACTGTGTCTTAGGGCTGTCTTTATCTTTCCATATCTTTTATGGTATATCGTTTTTACTATGGTGTATTTCAAGTATAACACTAAGCATATCTGGATTGATACTATTGGTTCTCTCACCTGGATATTTTTACAGTCAGTGGCAACAAGCATGGGAAATGTTAAAACAAAGACAATCTAAAATCAGCCGTCTCGCATGGAGGCCTTGTAAATGGGACAGTCGACTTGTTGCAAATGACGATAAATGTTCGGTATGTTTATGTCCGTTACCACTTAATTCTTTGGGTAACTTAAGAATGAGTTTTTGCCATCACATTTTCCATGAAAGTTGTATTCGAAAATGGTGTGGTATAGGGAACGATTGTCCTTTGTGTATATGACAAAATATGCAAAGGATTTCTTAGCGATAGCACATGTTTTTCGGAGTAGTTTGTTGGTGTTCACGAATCATGTTTTCCCACACATGGCATATTGGCTTATTCGTATTTTGTTTAGTGTCCTGTAATTTGAGTTTACTATATTATTGTTACTTGTCTTGAAGTAATTTTTCTGAACGATGACAATATGAGAAAAAAATTTCTTAATGATGAAAAATATTGAAGGCAACTGTATTTTGTGCAGCTTGATTCTCATTTATTATTATCAAATTAAATAAAAATCACATGAAATTTAAAATTTGACTTTTATATCCCATAAACACACTATTTCTATCAATTTTAGCTTTTAAACTATTCTCAGCATACGTAGATGTAATGTTCTCTCTGATAAAATCTGTTGTCAAACAAACAACAATAAAGGTATTTGTTATTAAGACAGCAACCCAACTTCACAATTAACAAAACTAGAGGCTCTCAAGAGCCTGTGTCGCTCACCTGATTCTAATTTGGTTTTGGAAATCATGTAAAAATAGATTAAAATCATAACAGATACCCTAATAATGAGTGAGGCCAAATTTGGTTTAATATTGGTCCTGTAATTTAATAAAAAAATCCTGCTGGCCATCTTGAACAGTAAATCAGCAACAAAGTATCAACACTTCATCAGCACCTCTTAAGAAGCATTTATGCCATGTTTTGGTTTCATTCCATTCAGTGCACCTCTAGAAGAAGCATTTGTATGTATTTCCCATAGGGTCTTATGTTAAAGGAAGTCCCCCCTTCTGGCGGCCATCGTGGATGAAGGATCAGCTTCAAAGTGACAACACTTGGTCAGCACCTCAAAAGGAACATTCATGCCATGTTTGGTTTAATTCCATTCAGTGGTTTTCTAAAAGAAGACATTTGTATGTATTTCCCATAGGGTCCTATGTTAAACTTAGTCCCCTGCTGGCGGCCATCTTGGATTATGGATCGGCTTCATAGTAACAACACTTGGTCAGCACCTCATAAGGAACATTCATGCCATGTTTGGTTTAATTCCATTCAGTGGTTCTCTAAAAGAAAACATTTGTATGTATTTCTCATAGGGTCCTATATTAAACTAAGTCTTCCGCTGGCGGCCATTTTAGATTATGGATCGGCTTCAAAGTAACAACACTCGGTCAGCACCTCATAAGGAACATTCATACCATGTTTAGTTTCATTCCATTCAGTGGTTCCCTTAAAGAAGACATTTGTATGTATTTCCCATAGGGTCCTATGTTAAACTAAGTCCCCCCGCTGGCGGCCATCTTGGATAATGGATCAGCTTCAAAGTAACAACACTTGGTCAGCACCTCATAAGGAACATTCATGCCATGTTTGGTTTCATTCCATTCAGTGGTTCTCTAAAAGAAGACATTTGTATGTATTTCCCATAGGGTCCTATGTTAAACTAAGTCCTCCGCTGGCGGCCATCTTAGATGATGGATCTGCTACAAAGTAACAACACTTGGTCAGCACCTCATAAGGAACATTCATGCCATGTTTGGTTTCATTCCATTCAGTGGTTCTCCAGAAGAAGTTCAAAATGTAAAAAGTTAACGACGACGACGGACGACACGGACGACGGACGCCAAGTGATGAGAAAAGCTCACTTGGCCCTTTGGGCCAGGTGAGCCAAAAAAAGGAATCACATGAAAAAAAAACTCAAAGCAAAGAACGGCGCTTTTGTTTCTTCATTTCAAAGTCACGGTGAGACCTTCTGCACGGAACACAACACCTCATCACACTGCAATATCAAGACAACACCTTTGCTTCTAACATGATATATAATGCCACATGTGGAGCAGAATCTGCTTACAATTCTGGAGCATCTGAGATCCCCCAGATTTTGGTGGGGTTCGTGTTGCTCAGTCTTTATTTTCTATGTTGTGTTTTGTGTATTGATGTTTGTCTTTTCGTTGTTTGTCTTTTTTTGCCATGGCATTGTCAGTTTGTGTTCGATTTATGAGTTTGAATAACCCTCTCTTTTATAACATACCTTCTCTCTAATTGTACTTTTATAAATCTATGAATTATCTAGAAAATAAGGTTCCAACTGCCCTCATGTAAAGTTGACAGTAGATTGATTTGGCAATTAGTTTTGTGTCCCCGTTGGTCATATAGCGCGTCACGCGGTTCGGTACCTATGATCATACATCTCTTTACGTGATTCGGACCCTTTGATAATATAGCTCATCGCGTGATCGGTACTTGGCTTTCAAATACTTGACCTCAGGCGTTCCTGATTAAGGTAAATCAATAAAAGAGCTTTTCGGACACACAATATTTACAAAGTTTGTTTTATTGACCACCAATGAGATCCACTGATGAACTATTTGTCCTTAAGGATACAGTTCGGCCAATACAAGTGGACTGCCATGGTTTGCATTTGAGGGTGCAATTCGGCCACTACTGATCGCCTGGTAGTCCTTGAGGTACAATTGTACAGTAGTTTGTGATTCGGCATAGGTAATAATCTGTTAAGGGGCATTATGTTTCCGTGAATGACAGTTAAATTAAAACCACGTGAATATGTCTTTGTTATTCGATGTTTTCTTTTTAAATCGTGTATGCCTCTCAAATTATTCAATAATATTATATTATATTTTTGCAAAGCTCGTAACATATTTCTTGATTCATAATTATAATATGTCAGTTTTTTTATGCCCCGCCGTCATTAAGTTTTACCCTTGTTCGTCCGTACGTCTTAAACTTATTTTCCATTCTCTATCTTTAGTTTGCCCCAACACGATATTATGACATTTATATACAATGCTTAGTACGAATTTGAGTGGCATCACTTTCACCGTTCTCCAGTTATGTCCCTTTCAATAATGGAAAATTGCTAAATTTGCCGTTTCCGCATTCTAACTTTAGTTTGCCTCAACTAATTCTTATGAAACTGATACACAATGCTATGACCACCAAACACAGATTATGTTCGAATATGGGTGGCGTCATTATCACCGTTCTCGAGTTATGACCCTTTTATAACTAGAAAATTGATGAATATGCCGTATATTTACAAGCGGGATATATGTGTCCCATGGACACATTCCTAATTTATTTTCAATAGCATAGAAAATGGAAACGAGAAATGTGTCAAAGAGACAACAACCCGAACAAAGAGCAGAAAACAGCCCAAGCCCACCAATGGGTCTTCAACGCAGCGTGAAAATCCCGCACCCGGCGACTGGCCCCATCCGGCCCCTTAACAATAATGTATACTAGTGTAGTCAAGTGGTTTTCCAAGGTTTTCAGAAACACAAATAACATATCGCAGGTTTAGGATTCGTGTAACAACACAGGCGTTATGAAATAAGATGTATAAATATTCATCATAGTTTATTAAATTCTCCATATATATATATCATCATAATATCACAACTATTTCTTCTGTTATAAAAATTTCACATTAAAAATCTTCTAGTTTCAATTTATATAAATTTTAGGCAACGTCTAATATACAATATGAAAGAAACAAAAATAAAGAACATTAGTATGTTTCATCTCTGTATATAAATTTTATACAATATAATTAAGTGCATAAATTTCTATTTCCTCACTGAAATTTCCTTTCTTATTTTTTTTTATCATAAAGTTTAATTATTAATCAAAACTATTAACTTTAAACAATTACAAAAATGTAACTTTCATAATGGATTTCCATATAAAATAACCAAATAAACTGTTTCTAAGTATTTCCAATTCTGAAATATATTATCTCCCTTATCAAATTATCTCCCCTTGTCAATACTGATGTCATAACATGTACTTCAAAAATATGACTAAAAAACATGTTATCATTTGTAAATAACAAAAAATTTTAACCACTGCTAAGCTAACAAAGCATCCACAATTAATAGCAGTAAATTTAATCTGTATTAATAATTCTAGGAACTCATGGTTGATAAATATAATTACTACACATACCCTAAGTAAGGTGAGAGTAGACGTCTCATTGCAGATAATCACAATCTTTATCAATCATTCTGACAATCATAGCTGATCACAATAATCTTATAACATCTGTAAATAACATTCATAGTTCTAAATAGTTCTCTCTTTCAGAGTAATACAGATATTATTTCTGATTTTCAACGATTCTCTTTTATTTCTTCGCTCTCATTTTATTACATCATTACATCAAAATAACTTTGATTCATCAAAACGCACAACTGATCAAGACTCTTAAATATTAAAATATTTGCATAACGCTTTCCAAGACACAATGAACCTTATTCCGGACTTATCATAAAAATCTAAATAGCTTCTCCATAACTAAACTTACAACTTGTGAATGAATTATGACTTTAATAACTTCTATATCTTTATTCTAAAACTGTCTTAAACGTGTAACAACTTAAATTATCGCTTTTCACCTAAACCACCTGCTACACGTGATATGCTTCTCACTCGAAAGTTTACTATGATAAAAACTTGTTTTAAAACAATAATATTACTTCATGATAATCATAACTCAACTTACAATATTTGAATGTTCACAATTCTGTTTCCAATTACACACGTCACATTGTGTTCCCAAAAAGTTGTCAGTGAGTGACAAAAATAAATGTCAACCTCTTTAAACTACCCACGCTATTATCTGCGCAATCGCAGTCAACTTTAACCTACGAGAGTATCAAAAATCTCTTTTTACAATAAATTAAAATCTGTTTATTTTTATCTTTATCTTCTTTTTATATATTCTTTGAATATCTTAATCACTAAATAGTAATTATTTTAGAGTAAAAATAATTTCCAAACCAAATTTCAATAACTATACAAAGGGAACAATTCAATCTAAAAAATTATCAAAATCTCAATCTCTCATGCTACATTCGTATAATCATGATACGAAAATATAGTTGTAACAAAAGACCATGTAATCAAATATAGAATTATAAACAACGTTTCCAAAATAATAGCATTAGTACAATAAGAACTCAATGAATATCCTATTAAAATGAATTATACAAGTTCTGAACCTTTTCTCTATTTCATTATTCTAACAAAATATTTTAATGTAATCTAATTGGATTATATCGCTTATTGATTTTACAGACTATTCACTTAGTTAATAATGTCTTGAAAATATGATTACATAAAAAGCTAGATTCTACACGAAACAAACTAAATAACTTATGTTGAGCAATTTAGAGCAAAGCAATTAGAACTAAGTAAGCAAGTTTGTTCTTATGTTGTACTGTTACACCACTGTCCCATGTTAGGAGGAGGGTTGGCGCCTTCTAACTAGTTTAACCCCG